AATTCGCTAATGCCATGTTCTTTACTACACATTAAATTATATTTTTCTTCAAGTCTTTTGTTTTTCACGGAGTGTTGATGAATGGCTCTGATGAATTTATGATGATTTACATTTTGTAATTTTGAATCCGAGAAAATTATTGTTGAACTTATTAGTAAAGAAAAGGTTACAAATGAGAGAGTATACACTTTTTCACAGTATCAAAGACAAGATGCAAATCAAGCAATAGATACCGAGTTTGATAGTGATGCATTTATTAATACTCTTTTACAAAATGATGGACCACTAGTAGATTTGAATGAAAACGCAAACCTTTCATGGTGTGAGAATGCAATARTTGACAACATTCTTAGTGAGAGGAGGGAATAAGTGTAAACTGTGTGTTTAATGTTTCAATAAAATTCTTTTGTCATTGAAGATTCCGTTAATTGTTATACAGAAATGCGCGCGCGCGCGTGCATAGAAAAAGGCGCTCTTTTTTCTCTCTCTCTCTCTTTTCATTTTATTGTACTATCATTTTAAAGAATTGGATAGGCAGTTATCAGGTGCGGACCCTGAGTAATAACCTGGACCCCATAACACAACTTACCTGTGAACCCATGAGTTCCAATGGGTTTTTTGAAATATCTTTTGAAAATAGTCCTAAATAGAAACGTAAATATAAAAGAATATTACCTTTTACACCTATAAAGTGTAGCTATTTTAGTAAAAAAAAGACGAAATCAAAAAAAATTTGATTTCTTACCTCSTCGCATTTGTGGGGTGTATTTCAACCCTCGTTGGAAAATTCATGTTTCCACTTATAAGTTTTGAGACCTCCCCACGGTTGGTAAAAAACGATTTTCCAGGTAATGCACCGGTATGGTTTCTCAAAATATGATCCATATTTTACTTTATTTATTTATTAATTATTTTTTCTTTTTTCACCTTAGACCAACTTAGAACCTTAACTTAGATGTTGAGAATCAAAACAAAATTCAGCCATGATGAGCGATAARATCTAATAAAGTTGAAATAACTAGCTAGTTCAATGATCAAGTAGTGGGACCAGAGCTTTTTTATTGATTTTACATATGTACTGATGTTTACCGCATGTTAACAGAAAACTTCGAATGCTTTAAAAACAGAAAGAGAAAATATTCTAATTATGATTTGTCTCGACACATTCTCGCTCTTTTTTTAAATCTAAGATTACTTCTTCAGTGTTTTTTTTYGAACTTTCTGAACAATTCCTGAAGACGGTACTCTACTTTCGGTACCCTTTTGTTCAAGAATCAGCCACCCCAGTAAAATATTGATATTTATATAGAATTATAGCAGTCTTCATAATGAGSCAGAGTAAATTCACGAAATAATTGTTAAGAACAAAGAGACTCTTTGATCTCCAGGTGGATCAAATAAGGCACTTGAACAAAGTTCACATTAAAGTCTCGCGCTCTTAAATCTTTACTGCTTTTCACGAAGTCTTTGTGCTCGTGGGGAAAAATCTAAAAAATTGATTTTWACAATCAGCAAAAAGATTGCATGCCTTAAGCCACTATTTGAATTTTAAATTCAAACCTTTTAATAAATTTATTTGCTTACACGGACCCGTGGTTCTTTGCCTTGCAATGATTTTACTTCATAGCCCGTGTGACATAAGAGATATATTCGTCATAGTAAATGGGTTCGTCAAGATCTTTAGATTTTTAACACGTTCTGCGCTGTTTTTTAACAGTGTTTCTAGCCAAAGGTGATAATCTACTAATTCTTTCATAGAAGGGTGAAGTCTGTCATCGGGATAGGGTAAGGCCAAATTTGAAGGCGATGAAACAATTGAAGCAAATCTTCGTTCATTTAAAGCAACAGCATACGTTTAGAAATAATACTCAATGTTTCCTCCATCACCGTGTTATGTATATATTTCTGGAGGAAAAAACAAGAAAAATCTAAAAAGATCATGATATGTTTTTTATATGACTTAAAAGGCTATAATCTATGTAAATATCACCCGAATAAAGAACTCTTCAATAACCTAAACATCATGYTTTTCGCTATCAATCTTGTTGTCCAAAACATATACGACACTTATAAAAATCAGGCAAACTTTGAGCTGGTTAAGTACGTCTTGGATTTCAATAAAACGTAACAAAGAATTGAATATTTTCTAAGTTTCGAAAGAAAATTAAGACGTAAAGTCCAATAGAGAATCATAATGGCATTTTTCAGTCTTACCAAACTTGTTAATATCTTTTWTCCATTTAAAAAGCGTAGAGGCAATATCTGAAATAGCATAAGCGAGTGTGTTAAGAACCACGAAATTTACGGAAGTAGATAGATAAATGATTAAAGTATTCAACACTTACAGGTTTTTTTTCTTCCTCGTAGTCAGGAAAAAAACTTTTAAAAAAGCGTCTTTGTGAAAACTTTCCTCTTTCATAGTTATAACTTGACTACTAATGTGCTCGGCWAAATTTGATCAGGATTGAAGCT